CTCTGTGTGAGTCTATGGGTCTCTGTGTGAGTCTATGGGTCTCTGTGTGAGTCTATGGGTCTCTGTGTGAGTCTATGCGTCTCTGTGTGATTCTATGGGTCTCTGTGTGAGTCTATGGGTCTCTGTGTGAGTCTATGGGTCTCTGTGTGAGTATATGGGTCTCTGTGTGAGTCTATGGGTCTCTGTGTGAGTCTATGGGTCTCTGTGTGAGTCTATGGGTCTCTGTGTGAGTCTGTGGGTCTCTGTGTGAGTCTATGGGTCTCTGTGTGAGTCTATGCGTCTCTGTGTGAGTCTATGGGTCTCTGTGTGAGTCTATGGGTCTCTGTGTGAGTCTATGGGTCTCTGTGTGAGTCTATGGGTCTCTGTGTGAGTCTATGGGTCTCTGTGTGAGTCTTTGGGTCTCTGTGTGAGTCTATGGGTCTCTGTGTGATTCTATGGGTCTCTGTGTGAGTCTATGGGTCTCTGTGTGAGTCTATGGGTCTCTGTGTGAGTCTATGGGTCTCTGTGTGAGTCTATGGGTCTCTGTGTGAGTCTGTGGGTCTCTGTGTGAGTCTGTGGGTCTCTGTGTGAGTCTGTGGGTCTCTGTGTGAGTCTGTGGGTCTCTGTGTGAGTCTATGGGTCTCTGTGTGAGTCTATGGGTCTCTGTGTGAGTCTATGGGTCTCTGTGTGAATCTATGGGTCTCTGTGTGAGTCTATGGGTCTCTGTGTGATTCTATGGGTCTCTGTGTGAGTCTATGGGTCTCTGTGTGAGTATATGGTTCTCTGTGTGAGTCTATGGGTCTCTGTGTGAGTCTATGGGTCTCTGTGTGAGTCTATGGGTCTCTGTGTGAGTCTATGCGTCTCTGTGTGATTCTATGGGTCTCTGTGTGAGTCTATGGGTCTCTGTGTGAGTCTATGGGTCTCTGTGTGAGTATATGGGTCTCTGTGTGAGTCTATGGGTCTCTGTGTGAGTCTATGGGTCTCTGTGTGAGTCTGTGGGTCTCTGTGTGAGTCTGTGGGTCTCTGTGTGAGTCTATGCGTCTCTGTGTGAGTCTATGGGTCTCTGTGTGAGTCTATGGGTCTCTGTGTGAGTCTATGGGTCTCTGTGTGAGTCTATGGGTCTCTGTGTGAGTCTATGGGTCTCTGTGTGAGTCTTTGGGTCTCTGTGTGAGTCTATGGGTCTCTGTGTGATTCTATGGGTCTCTGTGTGAGTCTATGGGTCTCTGTGTGAGTCTATGGGTCTCTGTGTGAGTCTATGGGTCTCTGTGTGAGTCTATGGGTCTCTAGGTGCGCCACGGTGGCGAGATCTTAACTACCTGGTCTGGTGTACAGGAGGTCGTGGGTTCAATACAGACCCTGACGACTGCTTGCGGTGTATTTGGAGTCTGCGTGTTTTTCTCGACCGTCTCTCTCCCCGTGGTCGTGTGGATTTTTCTCAGGGTCCCTCCGCCTCTCCCCCTCCGGAGCTGTTTGGCCGCGATAAATATTCGCGCAACGATAAGCCGCTTCGCTGAGCAATCATTGGCGATAGCCCAAGGGTCACTTCTGAAAGAGACCCGTACCGCTTGGTCAGCGGCGGCGTTCCCATGGTTGAACGAATCGAGTGATGTTTCTCTTGTTAGGTGACGCTATCCCACCGTCGCCGCGTGACTCCACTCAGCGTCCCCACCCGTTGGACCACGTGCCCCTTTGACATTCATCGCCCACACGCCACCGCCGCCGCCGCCGCCGCCGCTGTGCCACTATGGGAACGTGCCGACCCGCACGGGGGATAAAACTGCGCGTCTTTATCATCCCTTCAACGACTGTGCAAACTTTCTCCGCTTCGCGGAGGGATCCCACGCGTTGACCTCTGACCGCGAGGGCGCGGCCGATCGATTTCAGAAGTCGGTCCCGGATTCCCTCCCAAAGTCGGGCAGTCCCCCTCCCCCCGGGGTTGGATTTTGGTGGAGGCATTCAAACCGCGCCACGCCGAGCGCCGACTGCTGATTCGTCAGCCGATGCCGACGCTTGACCCCACCAAAGGTCTGGGGGTCTGTCTGTGAGTCTGGGGTGGGGGGGGGGTCTCTCTGTGGGTCTGGAGGTCTGTCTCTGGGGTTTTCTCTGTGAATCTGGGAATCTCTCTGTGAGTCTTGGGGGCCTCGCTGTGAACCTGGCGGTCTCTCTGGCGGTCTGTCTGTGAGTCTGCGGGTCTCTGTGGGTCTGAGGGTCCCTCTGTGAGTCTGTTGGTCTCTGTGGGTCTGAGGGTCTGTCTGTGAGTCTGTTGGTCTCTGTGGGTCTGAGGGTCTGTCTGTGAGTCTGAGGGTCTGTCTGTGAGTCTGTTGGTCTCTGTGGGTCTGAGGGCCTCTATGTGAGTCTGTTGGTCTCTGTGGGTCTGAGGGTCTGTCTGTGAGTCTGTTGGTCTCTGTGGGTCTGAGGGTCTGTCTGTGAGTCTGTTGGTCTCTGTGGGTCTGAGGGCCTCTATGTGAGTCTGTTGGTCTCTGTGGGTCTGAGGGTCTGTCTGTGAGTCTGTTGGTCTCTGTGGGTCTGAGGGTCTGTCTGTGAGTCTGCGGGTCTCTGTGGATCTTAGGGTCTCTCTGTGAGTCTGTTGGTCTCTGTGGATCTGAGGGCCTCTATGTGAGTCTGTTGGTCTCTGTGGGTCTGAGGGTCTGTCTGTGAGTCTGTTGGTCTCTGTGGATCTGAGGGTCTGTCTGTGAGTCTGTTGGTCTCTGTGGGTCTGAGGGTCTGTCTGTGAGTCTGTTGGTCTCTGTGGATCTGAGGGTCTGTCTGTGAGTCTGTTGGTCTCTGTGGGTCTGAGGGTCTGTCTGTGAGTCTGTTGGTCTCTGTGGGTCTGAGGGTCTGTCTGTGAGTCTGTTGGTCTCTGTGGGTCTGAGGGTCTGTCTGTGAGTCTGTTGGTCTCTGTGGGTCTGAGGGTCTGTCTGTGAGTCTGCGGGTCTCTGTGGGTCTGAGGGCCTCTCTGTGGATCTGAGGGCCTCGCTGTGAGTATGTTGGTCTCTATGGGAGCCTGTGGTACACTCATCGAGTGTACCACAGGCTCCTTGCCAAGCACACTAAGCCACCAGCGTGCGTACAGCAATAGTTAATTTAATAAATCTGCGTGGAGCTTTGACCCACAGCCTGGTGCCGGCCACCCACCCCCTCGTGTGCCGTGCCGGCCTTCATAGGTGCTGCTCGCAAACAGCACTCGTCCCAACAATCTGTTTATGCTATACGGGGGATCTTTTGGCGGGGGGAGGGGGTGGTTAGTAATGAATGTCCAGCTGTTGATTTGCGTTGCCCCCTGCTATACGCGGCGTGGGCCCCCGGCTCTCAGCCCGGCACGGCGTCGCTGCTGCTTCTCGGGTGGGGACCAGACCAGGCGCATTCCACGCCATCTGGTTAAGGGCGATTGTGAAACAGCTTTCAGCCTGGACGAGGCTCTCCTGAAAACGGAGCGTTGGTAGGAGCGGTGCGGTGGTAGGAGCGCTGCGGTGGTAGGAACGGTGCGGTGGTAGGAGCGGTGGTAGGAGCGGTGCGGTGGTAGGAGCGGTGCGGTGGTAGGAGCGGTGCGGTGGTAGGGGCGGAGCGGTGGTAGGTGCGGTGATAGGAAGGAGCGATTGTAGGGGCGGTGCGGTGGTAGGAGCGGTGCGGTGGTAGGGGCGGTGCGGTGGTAGGGGCGGAGCGGTGGTAGGTGCGGTGATAGGAAGGAGCGATTGTAGGGGCGGTGCGGTGGTAGGGGCGGTGCGGTGGTAGGAGCGGAGCGGTGGTAGGAAGGAGCGGTGGTAGGAAGGAGCGGTGGTAGGGGCGGAGCGGTGGTAGGAAGGAGCGGTGGTAGGGGCGGTGCAGTGGTAGGGGCGGTGGCAGTGGCGCTGGCAGTGAGTGTTGAGCTGCTTCACAGGGAGGTGACGAGCGCTCCGTCGCCCAGGAAAATCCCCGCCAAGAGCGTCCGCCCCCCCCCGCGCGACGGTCTTCAGAACGATTGAATAAATAAGTGCACACCTACACTTAAAACTTTCGAGACTTGCAGGAATTCATATTTCTTGTCTCTTTCGGCAAAAGTCTGCGTGGACAGAAAACCAAAGAATAAAAAATAAAAGTAACAAAAATAAATGCGACGTTTTGATGGCGACACAAGCGGCCTGATGGAGACCCGCCGCTTGTGTTGCGATCAAATCGTCGTGGTTTTTTTTTTGCTTTTATTTTTTTATTTTTTCCCTTCTATTTTTTTACGTGACGTTTACCGAAAGAACCAAGATTATGAGTGCACGCCGTTCGTAACTCCACGCGGCGCGTTTTTTTCGTGAAATTGGAAGGTTGCGCGCGCGGGAAACCGGCGCGCAAGCTGGGAACGCGGCGCAGCCACAGTTGCCCGAGCTCTGTCGTCCTACGTTGGGGTCGCCGTTGAACGAGCATTTGGAGATGCGGGGAGGAAACCTGAGTGCCCGGAGAAAACCCCCACGCGAGTGGGGGGCGGGTTGGACGGAGGCAAACAATCCCCCGTTTAGATGGAGGCCGAACAAAGGAATTTTGGCGGTAGCTCTGTGATATCCGCTTCTGTGCGCCGGTTGACCCTGTGGGTGAGTAGCAGTTGACCCTGCGGTTGACCCTGCGGGTGAGTAGCGGTTGACCCTGCGGTTGACTCTGTGGGTGAGTAGCGGTTGACCCTGCGGTTGACCCTGCGGGTGAGTAGCAGTTGACCCTGCGGTTGACCCTGTGGGTGAGTAGCACTTGACCCTGCAGTTGACCATGTGGGTGAGTAGCAGTTGACCCTGCAGTTGACCTTGCGGTTGACCCTGTGGGTGAGTAGCGGTTGACCCTGCGGTTGACCCTGTGGGTGAGTAGCGATTGACCCTGCAGGTGAGTAGCGGTTGACCCTGCGGTTGACCCTGTGGGTGAAGTAGCATTTGACCCTGCAGTTGACCCTGCGGTTGACCCTATGGGTGAGTAGCGGTTGACCGTGCGGTTGACCCTGTGGGTGAGTAGCGATTGACCCTGTGGGTGAGTAGCGATTGACCCTGCGGTTGACCCGGTGTTCCCCCCAGGTCCACCTGCAGACGCAGCAGGAGGTGCGGATGCGCATGAGCTCCATGGCGGTGCACGTGGTGAGGACGCAGGGCGTGCTGGCACTCTACAACGGCCTGAGTGCATCGCTGTGCCGCCAGGTACCAGCTCACCGCTGCCGCGAGCCTGAACCCTGACCCTGAATCTTGACCCTGAATCCTGACCCTGAACCCTGACCCTGAATCCTGACCCTGAACCCTGACCCTTAATCCCGACTCTGAACCCTGACCCTGAATCGTGACCCTGAATCTTGACCCTGAATCCTGACCCTTAATCCCGACCCTGAACCCTGACCCTGAATCGTGACCCTGAATCTTGACCCTGAATCCCGACCCTGAACCCTGACCCTGAATCTCGATCCTGAACCCTGACCCTGAACCCTGACCCTAAACCCTGACCCTAAACTCGAACCCTGACCCTAAACCCTGACCCTGACCCTAAACCCTGATCCTGAACCCTGACCCTGAATCTCGACCCTGAATCTCGACCCTGAATCGTGACCCTGAATCTTGACCCTGAATCGTGACCCTGAATCGTGACCCTGAATCGTGACCCTGAATTCCAACTCCGAATCCTGACCCTGAATCTGAATTCCGACTCCGAATCCTGACCTTCGAATCGTCCAATCGAACCTGTAGACTATAGCCACTCCACAGCCTCCCCCCCCCCCCCCAACCCGCCCGGCCCCCCATTTTGCCCATCATCTCTCCCCCCCCCGCCCCTCGGGCACGGGTTCTGCCCATCCGCACGTGGTCCACCAACCCCCGGGCCCGCTGCGCCGGGGTGACGCCCGCCCCGCTGGTTGTGTAACCGTTGCGTAAGCGACCGCCGCCGTGGACGCGGCCCGGCGCCCCCGCCCCGCCACCGCAACACAGGGCGGAAGTGGGGGAGGGGTTTGGCTCTCGGCCAAAGGGGCGGCGGCAGTGGGAGAGGCGTGGCGGTGTGCGGTGGGGGGTGGCTTGTGGCGGGTTGTTGTTGCGGCGTGCGTCCGTAATGAATGAAGTGGGTTTGGTGGTGGAGTTGTGGGTTGCGATGGTGGGTGGGGGGTGGGGGGTGGGGGGAGTGTGTCGGCCCCGGGCCGAGGAGAGAGGCAGTGCGGCCGCGGGATGCCGGGGATTAGCCCGCGGGCACGAGGACGCTCAGCCGCGTGTTGCGAGACGTTGGCTACCTACCTCGCCCGCTGTACAGGAGGTTCGTGGGTTCGATGCCCACCCCTGACGCCTGCTGCTGCTGCTGCTGTATATTTGGAGTTTGCGTGTCTCTCTTAATCTCATCATCATCATCATCACGGTGGCTAGGAGACGTTGGCTACCTACCTCGCCCGGTACGCAGGAGGTCGTGGGTTCGATGCCCACCCCTGACGCCTGCTGCTGCTGTGTATTTGGAGTTTGTGTGTCTCTCTTAATCTCATCATCATCATCATCACGGTGGCTAGGAGACGTTGGCTACCTCGCCTGGTGTACAGGAGGTCGTGGGTTTGATCCCGACCCCTGATGCCTGCTGCTGCTGCTGTATATTTGGAGTTTGCGTGTCTCTCTTAATCTCATCATCATCATCATCATCACGGTGGCTAGGAGACGTTGGCTACCTCGCCTCGTGTACAGGAGGTCGTGGGTTCGATGCCGACCCCTGACCCCTGCTCTATATTTGGAGTTTGCGTCTCTCTCTCTCTCTCTCTCCGTGGTCACGTGGACTTTTCTCCCGGTCCTCCGGTTTTTCCACACACATTTAGAATCAACGTCACGCGCGTCGAGTATTCGGCTGCGATGAATTTCCACGCAATGATAATAGCACTTCGATGAGTTACCATTTGTGGCCAGGTCGCTTCTGAAAAATAGCTGCATAGCTCAGTGCGCTTTGCCTGGTAATATAAAAAAAATAGTTCAGTCTTCGTGTCTGTGTGTTCTCACCACTACACCACCGCTCCCCCCCCCCCATGCCCATTATTGCGGGGAGCGGTAGTGGAGCCGCGCTACGAACCCGGCGACCCGAGTTCGATTCCCGCTCACGGCCAACATCGCGGATGATTGTTTTAACTGGTCCATGCGCTTGCCCCGAGGTCGGATTCTGCCTCAAATGAGTACCTGGTGCGGTGGGTAAAACGTCGTCAGCGGGGAGACAAAGGCGGCCGGGCGTGATTCTGGCCAGCCTCCCCGTCGTGTGCCTTCGTAGGTGCCCGCTGCTCACGGATCCAGCACTCGCCCCGACAGCCCGTTGAGGCTACACGGGGGACCTTTGTCTCTGTGTCGCGCAGCTCACCTACTCGCTGGCTAGGTTCGCGATCTACGAGCGGGCGCGCGAGTTCGTGGGGAGGGACGGTCGGAACCCGCCCTTCCACACCAAGGTGTTGATCGGCGCCCTCGGGGGTGAGAGCAGCACTCGCCAAACTCGCCCACCTTGCTCGCTCACTCGCTCACTCGCCCGTCCGCCCGCTCGGCCGCCCCGCTCACTCGTCCACTCCCTCGCCCGCTCACCCACCCGCTCGCCAAACTGCTCACTCACCCACTCGCCAAACTCGCTCACCTTGCTCGCTCACTCGCTCGCTCACTCACTCACTCGCCTGCCCGCTCACTCGGCCGCCCCGCTCACTCGTCCACTCCCTCGCCCGCTCACCCACCCGCTCGCCCACCTGCTCACTCACCCCACTCGCCAAACTCGCCCACCTTCCTCGCTCGCTCGCTCAGTCACTCACTCACTCGCCTGCCCGCTCGCTCGGCCGCCCCGCTCACTCGTCCACTCTCTCGCCCGCTCACCCACCCGCTCGCCCACCTGCTCACTCGCCCACTCACCAAACTCGCCTACCCACTCACCTGCTCACCCACCCACTCGCTAAACTCATCCTCCCGCTCACTCACCCACTCACCAAACTCACCTACCCACTCACCTGCTCACCCACCCACTCGCTCAACTCATCCGCTCGCTCACCCAATCACCAAACTCACCCACTCACTCACCTCCTCACCCATCCACTCCCCCACCCACTCACACATCCACTCACCCACCCAACTACTCGCTCGCCCACTCATTTTCTAGCTCGCTTACCAAACTCACTCACCCACCCACCCACTCACTCGTTCGCTCGCTCGCTCACCTGCTCGCTCACTTACTCACCCACCCTCTCACTCATTCACTCACCAAACTCACTCACTCACTCGCCTGCCTGCCTGCTCATTCACCCGCCCCGCTCACTCGTCCACTTCCTCACCCACTCATCCACCCGCTCACCCACCCGCTCACCCACCCGCTCACCCACCTGCTCACTCACCCACTCACCAAACTCACCTACCCACTCAACTGCTTACCCACCCACTCGCTCAACTCACTCTCCCGCTCACTCACCAAATCACCAAACTCACCCACTCACTCGCCCCCTCACCCACCCACTCACCCACCCACTCACCCACCCACTCACCCACCCACTCACCCACCCACTCACACATCTACACACCCACTCACCCAACCACTCGTTCGCTCATTCACTCACTCACCCACTCGCTCACCTGCTCGCTCACTTCACCCACCCTCTCACTCATTCACTCACCAAACTCACTCACTCTCTCGCTCACCCTGCCGCTGTGGCACGTGTGTCCGCACTGCAGGGTTCAGTGGGGGCCTCATCGGCACGCCGGCTGACTTGGTGAACGTACGGTGAGTCCACAGCCCTGGCTCGGGGTGAGCGAGGGAGCGAGTTGGCTGGCTCATTGAGTGAGTGGGCGAGTGAGCAAGCGAGTGAGCAAGCGAGTGAGCAAGTGAGTGAGCGAGTGGGCGAGCGGGCGAGTGGTTGAGTGGAGGAGTGAGTTTGCAGGTGGAGGAGTGAGTGGTTGAGTTTGTGGTTCGTTAAGTGGGCGAGTGGATGAATGAGTGGGTCGGTGGGTGAGTGAGTAAGCGGGTGAGCGGCTGAGTGAATGGGTTAATTCGTAGGTGAGAGGTTTAATGAGTGGGTGAGTGAGTAGGTTGGTGAGCGAGTAAGTGAGTGCGTGAGTGAGTAGGTTGGTGAGCGAGTGAGTGAGTGAGTAGGTTGGTGAGTGAGTGAGTGAGTAGGTTGGTGAGCGAGTGAGTAGGTCGGTGAGTAGGTTGGTGAGCGAGTGGGTGAGTGAGTAGGTTGGTGAGCGAGTGAATGCGTGAGTGAGTAGGTTGGAGAGCGAGTGAGTAGGTGGGTAAGCGAGTAGGTTAGTGAGCGAGTGAGTGAGTGAGTAGGTTGGTGAGCGACTGAGTAGGTGGGTAAGCGAGTAGGTTGGTGAGCGAGTGAGTGAGTGAGTAGGTTGGTGAGCGAGTGAGTGAGTGAGTAGGTTGGTGAGCGAATGAGTAGGTGGATAAGCGAGTAGGTTGGTGAGCGAGTGAGTGGGTGAGTGAGTAGGTTGGTGAGCGAGTCAGTGCGTGAGTGAGTAGGTTGGTGAGCGAGTGAGTGCGTGAGTGAGTGAGTAGGTTGGTGAGCGAGTGAGTGAGTAGGTTGGTGAGCGAGTGAGTGCGTGAGTGAGTAGGTTGGTGAGCGAGTGAGCGAGTGTGTGGGTGAGCGAATAGGTTGGCAAGTGAGTGAGTGGGTGAGCGAGTAGGGTGGTGAGCGAGTGCTTGAGTGAATAGGTTGGTGAGCGAGTAGGTTGGTGAGCGAGTGAGTGGATGAGTGAATAGGTTGGTGAGTGAGTGAGTGGGTGAGCGAATAGGTTGGTGAGCGAGTAGGTTGGTGAGCGAGTGAGTGGATGAGTGAATAGGTTGGTGAGTGAGTGAGTGGATGAGCGAGTAGGTTGGTGAGTGAGTGCTTGAGTGAATAGGTTGGTGAGCGAGTAGGGTGGTGAGCGAGTGCTTGAGTGAATAGGTTGGTGAGCGAGTGAGTGGGTGAGCGAGTAGGGTGGTGAGCGAGTGCTTGAGTGAATAGGTTGGTGAGCGAGTAGGTTGGTGAGCGAGTGAGTGGGTGAGTGAGTAGGTTGGTGAGCTAGTAGGTTGGTGAGCGAGTGAGTGAGTAGGTTGGTGAGCGAGTGAGTGAATGAGTGAATAGGTTGGTGAGCGAGTAAGTGGGTGAGTGAGTAGGTTGGTGAGCGAGTGAGTGAGTAGGTTGGTGAGCGAGTGAGTGAATGAGTGAATAGGTTGGTGAGCGAGTGAGTGGGTGAGCGTGTAGGGTGGTGAGCGAGTGAGTCAGTGTGTGAGCGAGTAGGTTGGTGAGCGAGTGCGTGGGCGAGTAGATTGGTGAGTGAGTGAGCGAGTAGGGTGGTGGGTGAGCGAGTAGGTTGGTGAGTGAGTGACTGGTTGAGCGAGTAAGTTGATGTTTGGGAGAGTAGGTTGCGGAGTGAGTGGGTGAGCGAGTGAGTGGGTGACGGAGTAGGGTGGTGAGTGAGTGAGTAGGTTGGTGGGGTGTTTCACTCGGCTGTGTATGGGGGAGCGGTAATGCAGTGGTCACCGCACTGTGCTTCAGACACGGTGGCCCCAAACAGATTCCCACTCACGGCCGACATCGGTGGGCATTTTCTTAACCATTCCCTGGGCTTCCTTGAACGTGACTCAGCATTGCCCCTGGGATTCCTTGAACGTGACTCAGGATTGCCACAGTGCCGGCCTTCATGGGTGCTGGTCGCGAACGGGCACTTGCCCCAGCAGCTTGTGCAGGCTACATGGGGGACCTTTCTCTGTATCTGTGTGCGTCTGTGTGTGCACCTGCAGGATGCAGAATGACATCAAACTGCCACTTGACCAGCGACGCAAGTAAGTTCTGACCCTTGACCCCCCCCTCCACCTTTGACCTTCGGGGGAAGGGCATTCATTTTTCATAATTAAGCTGTTGAGGTTTGCAATGCCGCGTGACCAGTCCATGCCTATCTCTAGGTGTTCCACCAACCCCTGACCACCACCACCACCACCACCGTGACAATCAACACGATCACTGCCAGTATTTCTGCCATCACCACCACCACGGCCACCACCTCATCACCATCACGATTATAATCATTTAGCAATACCAGCATCATCATCATCATCACGACAACCACCATCACACTCACCACTCTCACCACTATCACCATCACCACCTTAACCGCCGCCATCACCATCACCACCTTAACCACCGCCACCGCTGCCCAGAGCCCACGGCAGTTAATGCCACGGTCGGTGCGAGGTCACGTTTCGCGACGTTGACGACCGTTGCCCGTGAACCTCGCGATCGCATGTCGCGAATTATTAGATTGCTGCTGCTGTTGTTGTTGTTGTTGTTTTCCGTGCCCTAACCGAATCTGTCCCGGCATGAATAGCGGTCTGCTCGGAGCTTCTCTCTACGGGGGGGGGGGGGCGGGCGGGGGGGCGGGGGGGGCGGGGGACCCTTTCGCCAGTGTCGAGTTGCTTCGAACGATAACGAAAAGGCTTGAACACCTCCTGAAGACGTCCGCATGAACCAAGTTCATGCCGCCTATCGCACGGCACCGAGGCTGCGTTCACCACACGGGCTTTTGTGCGGTGACCTACGACACGCCGAGCGGGGGGTGGGGGGGGGGGGGGGGGGGGGCGCGGGGCGCGCACGACCCCCCAAACGCGTTTGAGCCGAACACGCGACACGCCAGTGCCATTGGACCTCCCGGTAACAACAAAAAAACTCGGGTTCGTAAATGGGAGCGGCGGCGCCGCCCGGCACGGCCAGAAGCCAAACGACGGCCGCTGCCGTGGGCTCCCGATTTACCCGTCGCGTTCGTCCGCGCGTCACCGACCGTCAGAGGTCGGTGAGAGGTCGGTGACGCGATCGTCAGAGGTCGGTGACCATCAGAGGGGTGGTCCCCTCCCGCCCCCTCCTCCCGCCCCCTCCTCCCCCTCCACTTCCCCCGAGCAAGCGGCGCTTCGTGGAAACGCGGTGCGAGGCGAACCCACCGACCTCGCCGGTGATGAGCACCACATGGCCACCTCTGATACCGCCGCCGCCGCTGTCGACAGTGGGTGACGATGATGGTGGCGGTGGTGGCGGTGATGGCGGTGGTGGTGGCGGGATTAGTGGCGCTGGTGGCGATGGCGGTGGTAGCGGTATCAGTGGGTGGTGGTGGTAATGGTGGTAGTGGTGGTGATGGTGGTGGTGGCGATGGCGGTGGTGGTGGCGGTATCAGTTGATCGTGGTGGCCGTGGTGGTAGTGGCGGGTGGTGGCGGTCGTAGTGGTATCAGCGGGGTGGTGGTGGTGATGATTGTGGCAATGGCGGTGGTGGCGGCGGCGTGTATCGGTGATCGTGGTGGTAGTGGCGGTGGTGGCGATGGCGGTCGTAGCGGTATCAGTGGGTGGTGGCGGCGGTGGTGGAAGTGGCGGTGGCGACGTTTGGCCGCGTCGGCACGGCGTGTGGGAGCCATGTGGTTCTCATTGCCGAGGTTGCGCAGCGTCCAGTACCGCCGTCCCGCCAACTCCCCCGCCTTTCAGCTCTCGCCGTGTGACACTGCGGGGTTTCACAACGCCGCTCTGTCTCTCTCTCTCTCGCTCTCTCTGCACGCCCCTCACGGCCGACGACGACCGGCCCTGGGGCCTTCCCCCCCCCCCCCCCCCCCGCCACCCAGGTCGGCCCGGCCTCAAAACGAGTACCCGGTGCGGCCCGTGGTGCATCAGCGCGGCGGCCGTGTGGCGGCCGGCCGCACCAGCCCCTCAAACGCACGCGGCGCCCCAAACCGTCGGTAACGGGCTGTGTGTGCGTGTGATGACCGTCTGCGTGTCTCTCTCTTACAGCTACAAGCACGCCATCGACGGCATTTACCGGGTGGCCAAAGAAGGTGAATCCTACGGTGCCACCGATCGGCACGCCACGCCACGCCACGCCACGCCACACGCGAGCACAAAGACAAAGGTCCCCCGTGTGTAGCCTTTAACAGACTGTCGGGGCAAGTGCTGTTGGCGAGCAGCACCGTACGAAGGCCGGCACCGCGCCCCATTGCTCGTGTTTTTACACACCGCACGAGGTTCTTAAATTCAAGCTCACGGCCAACGCCAGTGACGATTCTCTCAACCGGTCCTGGGCCTACCCCTAGGTCGACTCGGCCTCAAATGAGCACCTGGTGCGGTGTGTTAACATCGCCGCTAGAGAGACAAAGGCGGTCGGGCGTGGTGCTGGCTACTCGCCCCCATAATGTGCCGTGCCGGCCTTCATGGGCGCTCACTCGGAGCACTTGCCCCAATATCCTGTTAAGGCTACACGGGGGACCTTTGTCTTTGTTTTGCCCTCCCCCTGTCCCTGCGTCTTGTGAAACCGTGTCCCCGTGTCTCGATTTCTCCTATGTCACTGTGACCCCATGTCCCCCTGTGTCCCCATGTCTTTATGACTCGATGTCCCCGTGTCTCCATGTCTGTGATCCCGTGCCCCCGTGTCCCCGTGTCTCTTTGTCCCCCATGTCCCCGTGACCCCGCGTCTCCACGTCTGACCCCGCGTCTCCACGTCTGACCCCGTGTCTCCACGTCTCCATGCCCCCCCCCCCCCGTGCCCTTGTGTCTCCGTATACCCCTGAGTCTCCACGTCTGACCCCGCGTCTCCACGTCTGACCCCGAGTCTCCACGTCTGACCACGTGTCTCCACGTCTGACCCCGTGTCCTTGTGTCTCCGTATACCCCCGTGTCTCCACGTCTGACCACGTGTCTCCACGTCTGACCCCGTGTCCTTGTGTCTCCGTATACCCCCGAGTCTCCACGTCTGACCCCGTGTCTCCACGTCTGACCACGTGTCTCCACGTCTGACCACGTGTCTCCACGTCTGACCACGTGTCTCCACGTCTGACCACGTGTCTCCACGTCTGACCACGTGTCTCCACGTCTGACCCTGTGTCTCCACGTCTGACCCCGTGTCTCCCTGGCAGAGGGCATCAGGAAGCTGTTCAACGGCGCTACAATGGCAGCGAGCCGTGGGGCGCTGGTCACGGTTGGACAGGTACGGCCACCGCCGCTACCGCCGCTACCGCCGCTACCGCCGCTACCGCCGCTACCGCCGCTACCGCCGCCACCGCCGCTACCGCCGCTACCGCGATTCGCCGCCCGCCACTTCTCCGCTGCTGGATGAAAGCTTCCACTTCCCCGGGGGGGGGGGGGGGGGAGGGCGGCGGTGCCTTGTGCCGTGGTCTCGCGACGCAAATGTTCCGCCACGCGCGACGTCTACTCGTGTGACGATCACGGTGGCCTCCTCCTCTCATCCATGTGATGCGAGTGGTGTGTGTGTGCGTGCGTGCGTGCGTCTGTGCGTGCATGCATATGTATCTGGACGGGGAGCGGAAGTGCAGCGGTTAGCGCCACCGCCCTACGAACCCGGCGACTCGAGTTGGATTACCCGCTCGTGACCGATAACAGCGACGATTATTTGAACCGATCCTAGGCCCGCCCTCGGTGAACTCGGTGCAGCATGGGGAGCGGTGGTGTAGCAGTTAGCGCTACGCTGCGCTATGAACCCGGCGACACGGGTTCGATTCCCGCTCACGGCCAACATCAGTGACGATTATCTGAACCGGTCCCGGGCCTCCCCTAGGTCGGCTCAGCCTCAAATGAGTACCCGGTGCAGTGTGTAAACATCGCTACTAGGGAGACAAAGGCGGTCGGGCGTGGTGCTGGCCACCCACCCCCCTCGTGTACCGTTCCGGCCTTCATAGGTGCTCGCTAACAGCACTTGCCCCTGCAGTCTGTTAAGGCTATACGGGGGATCTTTGTCTTTGTATGTGCGTGTGCGTGCGTGCGTGTGCGTGCGTGCGTGTGTATGCGTGTGTGCGCGTGTGTGTGTGTGTGCGTGCGTGCGTGTGTATGCGTGCGTGCGTGCATGTGTGTATGTGTGCGTGCGTGCGTAGCTCTCGTGCTATGACCAGGCCAAGCAGCTGGTGTTGGCGACGGGGCTCATGGGAGACAACATCACAACGCACTTCCTCGCCAGCTTCCTCGCGGTAAGTCTCCCTGCCGCTCTCCCCTCCGCGCTGCCCTCCCCTCTGATCTGTCCCTCCTCTCTGCGCTCTCTGTCAAATAAACAAATAACACGGCCTTCTGCGAGTGCCCGATTTCAGCAGCATTGGTTAAAAAAAAAATCAACAGCAGAGTCAGGCTTTGGTTGAGCCAACGCTGGTGACGCGCCCAATATTTGACTTCAAGGACCATCGCCATCAACCAACCAACCAACCTACCACCACCACCACCACCACCACAGAACCACCACCCCACCACTAGCCCATTACCACCACCACCACCACCACCATTGCACCACCACCACAGAACCACCAGCCCATTACCACCACCACCACCATTGCACCACCACCACCATAGAACCACCACCCCACCACCAGCCCATTACCACCGCCACCACCATTGCACCACCACCACCACCACCACCATTGAACCACCACCCCACCACCAGCCCATTACCACCACCACCATTGCACCACTACCACAGAACCACCACCCCACCACCAGCCCATTACCACCACCACCACTACCATTGCACCACCACTACCATAGAACCACCACCCCACCACCAGCCCATTACCACCGCCACCGCACTTCCATCATCACTACCACCATCCCACCATCGCACAACCACCACCACCACCACCACCCCACCATTATCACCCCACCACCACTGCACCAGCACTACCACCACCACTCGACCACTACCACCCTCCCCCCCCCGTGCAGGCTCCACGGGGCGTCTTAACCCCTGTGTGTGTGTGTGTGTGGGCGTGTGCCGCAGGGGGGCTGCGCTACTGCGCTGTGCCAGCCGTTCGACGTGCTCAAGACGCGGCTGATGAACTCGCACGGGGAGTACCGGGTGAGTGTGTCACGGTGCCACGCGGCCTGCGCTGACGGACACAACAACGCACACACGGTGGACACACGGTGGACACACGGTGGACACGCCGATGGACACACGGTGGACACGCCGATGGGCACGCCGATGGGCACGCCGATGGGCACGCCGATGGGCACGCCGATGGGCACGCTAAAACTAAAAGCTTTTGTTTATTTTACCAGGTAAGGCCCACTGAGCTATGTAGCTCGTTTTCCGAACCGACCTGGCCACAGATGATAGCTCAACGAAGTGGCTTATCACGTGGAATTTTATAGCAGATGAATACTCTTAAACGCGTGTTTCTCAATGGGGAGGGAAGAAAAGCGGAGGGACCCAGAGGAAAATCCACGCTACCATGGGGGGGAGAGAGACACGCCAACTCCAAATATACAGCAGCAGGCGTCAGGGTTTGGATCGAACACACGACTTCCTGTATACCAGGCGAGGTAGTTAACATCTCACCACGGTGGCGAGATACTGCAGGGAAACGTTTAAAATGATTGATTGATGGAGAGAGACACACAGAGAGAGCGACAGAGAAAGAGAGAGGGTGAGAGAGAGAGCGAGAGCGGTGATGGACAAAGTTCAGTGGCCCTGAGCTGCAGTCGAGTTTGGGCTCTTAAAGGTCACACTTTGAGTCTGGTCTTTGCAGCGAGGTGTATTTTTTCAAGGCTACGAAGTAATAGCTGTAAAGCAGATCTTGTCTTATCAGTTGCACGTCATCCAATCTCGAGCCTGCGGCTGTAGAGAATTGGCTCGTTGGCATGGAGTTGAACGTCAGAATGGTAATGTGCTCGACGCGATATGATCACTATTATTATTATGATGATGATGATTCGCACAGATTGGGAATGGGATAGCACCGAGCGCTGAACCCCGTGGGGGCGGGGGTGGGGGGGGTGGGGGGACACCTTGCGCCGAGTGGAGCGCAGCCGAAGAGCGTGGCGGGTCCGTCTCCCCGGTGCCGTACCCTGCCGACCGAAAACCCCTTCGCGAACCGCTCCGTCGCCTTCGTGATCTTCGTCACGAACGGCTTTGCGCTCCTCCGTCGCGTTTCGTCACGACGGAGGGCGGACTCGGGTAGCACGGATCGGAGGATGCGGACGGGTACGACGTCACCGATCGACGCCTTCGCCGAGTCTGGCTGGCGGTCGGACTCGGGGGGGGGGGGGGGGGGGGCGAGAACATTTGCGGGTGGACTTGAATCCGTCTGAAGAGCCCCCCGGCATCACACTGGAAGATCCCACCGTGTCCGTCCTGCGCTCACTTGAGCTGCATGGTCTTCCCGTTGCCGAACGAATGCGTTGTAAGGGTCCCCGCTTGTTACGCACAGAGCGCTCGTCTCAAAGGATTTCGCCAAGGGCCATAACCCGTCGCCACGCCAACTCCGGTAGCAGCAGCAGCAGCAGCAAGCAGCGGCATTTTTGGCTCGGCCGTCGAGCAAACGCGCGGTGGTCACCGCATCGCGCGGCGCTTTCGGGTTCACTTCCGCGGCCGTCTGGAACGCTCTTCCTTCTGATGTTAGGAAGCCATTGGGCGCTATGCACTTTTCAATCCGCTGGATTGAAAACTAATTTCTTAAGGGCTGCCGTCCGTGTTTAGTTTCTTGCCCTTCTCCCGCACCTCCGATTAGCACGGTTGGGCTATGTGCGGTGTGAAAGAAGTTCACCATGCGTACATCCAAAGACTGCTGATCGGATGTTCGTCCTGTTGTCAAGGTGTCCAGATTTGTGGTCTAACAAAGTGTAGCCACCGCCACCGCTACCGACGCCACCGCCGCCACCTTCGCCATCACCGCCACCACCGCCACTACCGCCACCACCACCGCCACCACCTTTGCCACCACCTTTGCCACCACCTTTGTCACCAGCACCATCACCGCCACCGCCGGCGCCACCGCCGGCGCCACCGCCGCCTCCCAGCTCTCTTCAAGCCCTTGACGTAGTGAAGTCAAATTCTTTCGGGGCGGGGAGAACCCCGGACCGGGTGTGGGAGGGGAGAGCGATGAGGGAAGACTTGTTGTGGTTTTAAAAAAAGAAGATAGTTGCCGCGCGGCGGACAGAGCGTCAGCGTTGCCACTGCCGTGCCTAGAAACGGACTCCGGACAGGGGGAGCAGGAGGGGGGGGGAGGATTCAGTCGCAAGTCTTCAGAAGTAAAATCTTTTTAGTTTTTTCGGTAAAGTCACGTTGAAGAGAAACAACAAAATATATATAAAACAATATATGTTTTATATATATTTTGTTATTTTGTTGTTTCTCTTCAACGTGACTTTACCGAAAAAACTAAGAATATGAATTACTGCAGTCACGAAAGCTTTAAATCAAAATTTAAAATCTTTTTGTTTGTTTACCCATCGGACCGAGGATATTTGACGTCGCGTTCGGAGCTCTCCGCCTGGTGTGGCCTTTAGTGCACCCCGCCCCCCCCCCCCCATCATCATCATCATTGTGCTGTCACGAACCCCCAATGGTTTCAAATGTGTGGAGGCACCTCCTCCTCGCGCGCGCTGATGATGTCTCATCGCGCCGCTCGCACACTCACCACGCTCACCGCTCGCACTCACCGCTCACACTCGCCACGCTCACCGCTCACACTCACCGCTCACACTCGCCACGCTCACCGCTCGCACTCACCGCTCACACTCGCCACGCTCACCGCTCACACTCGCCACGCTCACACTCGCCACGCTCACCGCTCGCACTCACCGCTCACACTCGCCACGCTCACCGCTCGCACTCACCGCTCACACTCGCCACGCTCACCGCTCACACTCACCGCTCACACTCGCCACGCTCACCGCTCGCACTCACCGCTCACACTCGCCACGCTCACCGCTCGCACTCGCCACGCTCACCGCTCGCACTCACCGCTCACACTCGCCACGCTCACCGCTCGCACTCACCGCTCACACTCGCCACGCTCACCGCTCACACTCACCGTTCGCACTCACCGCTCACACTCGCCACGCTCACCGCTCACACTCACCGCTCGCATTCGCCACGCTCACACTCGCCACGCTCACCGCTCGCACTCACCATGCTCACCGCTCGCACTCGCCACGCTCACCGCTCGCACTCACCGCTCACACTCGCCACGCTCACCGCTCGCACTCACCACGCTCACCGCTCACACTCACCGCTCACACTCGCCACGCTCACCGCTCACACTCGCCACGCTCACCGCTCGCACTCGCCACGCTCACCGCTCACACTCACCGCTCACACTCGCCACGCTCACCGCTCACACTCGCCACGCTCACCGCTCACACTCGCCACGCTCACCGCTCACACTCACCGCTCGCATTCGCCACGCTCACACTCGCCACGCTCACCGCTCGCACTCGCCACGCTCACCGCTCGCACTCACCGCTCACACTCGCCACGCTCACCGCTCGCACTCACCGCTCGCACTCGCCACGCTCACCGCTCGCACTCACCGCTCGCACTCGCCACGCTCACCGCTTGCACTCGCCACGCTCACCGCTCACACTCACCGCTCACACTCGCCACGCTCACCGCTCACACTCGCCACGCTCACCGCTTGCACTCGCCACGCTCACCGCTCGCACTCACCGCTCACACTCGCCACGCTCACCGCTCGCACTCACCGCTCACACTCGCCACGCTCACCGCTCACACTCGCCACGCTCACCGCTTGCACTCGGCCCGCTCATCGCTCGCACTCACCGCTCACACTCGCACTCACCGCTCACACTCGCACCTCACCGCTCACACTCGCCACGCTCACCGCTCGCACTCGCCACGCTCACCGCTCGCACTCACCGCTCACACTCGCCACGCTCACCGCTCGCACTCACCGCTCACACTCGCCACGCTCACCGCTCACACTCGCCACGCTCACCGCTCGCACTCGCCACGCTCACCGCTCGCACTCGCCACGCTCACCGCTCGCACTCACCGCTCACACTCGCCACGCTCACCGCTCGCACTCACCGCTCACACTCGCCACGCTCACCGCTCGCACTCACCGCTCACACTCGCCACGCTCACCGCTCGCACTCACCGCTCACACTCGCCACGCTCACCGCTCGCACTCACCACGCTCACCGCTCGCACTCGCCACGCTCACCGCTCGCACTCACCACGCTCACCGCTCGCACTCACCGCTCACACTCGCCACGCTCACCGCTCGCACTCACCACGCTCACCGCTCGCACTCACCGCTCACACTCGCCATGCTCACCACCGACACTCGCCGCTCACACTCGCCACGCTCACCGCTCGCACTCGCCACGCTCACCACCGACACTCGCCGCTCACACTCGCCCATTACTGCGGGTGGCAGGGATCCAGCACAGTGCCCAGCCTCTGCTGTTGCTGCTACTGATTGTGGTGATGGTGGTGGCGGTGGTGGAGAAGAGGTGGATTCATTGGGTACGGGAGGATGTGGAGCTGAGTGGACTTGCCGACGACCGGTACCAGCGGTGTTAAGATCGGCCTCTGCGGAGGAGGCTCGTGAATGACGCTGCTGCTGCTGCTGCTGGGCAGTTGGAGGCAGTCGCCCTCCAGCAACAACGGAGGGCGGAGGAACGGCGCTCACAACAACGAGCGGAGCGCCGGGTGGCTAGGATGGAGCAAAACCGGCACAGTAGGGGGGTACACAAGCTGGTGGTGCATCTACCGGTCACCTCAGCCAACCCATGGTAGCTGCTGGGTCTGTCCCGTGACCTCCACCTGTCAGCGAGCCTTCGAGGCTCCACGTGGCCTCAACGTGCACCTGGCCTGGCACAGGGGCCGTGGTGACGTCACCGTCACTGAGTGGTGGAATGCCGGCCATTGTTGTCTGTGTGTGCACTCATTTCCTGTGTGTCTGTGCGGTGTCTGTGCGGTGTCTGTGCGGTGTCTGTGCGGTGTCTGTGTGGTGTCTGTGCGGTGTCTGTGCGGTGTCTGTGTGGTGTCTGTGCGGTGTCTGTGCGGTGTCTGTGCGGTGTCTGTGCGGTGTCTGTGCGGTGTCTGTGCGGTGTCTGTGCGGTGTCTGTGCGGTGTCTGTGCGGTGTCTGTGTGCAGGGCGTGCTGCACTGCTTCTCTGAGACCGCCCGGCTCGGCCCCTTCGCCTTCTACAAGGTGAGATGCTCCTCCTGCTGCTGCTGCTCCTCCTGCTGCTCCTCCTGCTGCTGCTCCTCCTGCTGCTCCTCCTGCTGCTGCTCCTCCTGCTGCTCCTCCTCCTGCTGCTCCTCCTGCTGCTCCACCTGCTGCTCCTGCTGTTGCTGCTCCTCCTGCTCCTGCTCCTGCTGCTCCTCCTGCTGCTGCTGCTGCTCCTCCTGCTGCTCCTCCTGCTGCTCCTTCTGCTCCTCCTGCTGCTGCTCCTCCTGCTGCTCCTCCTCCTGCTGCTTCTCCTGCTGCTCCACCTGCTGCTCCTGCTGTTGCTGCTCCTCCTGCTCCTGCTCCTGCTGCTCCTCCTGCTGCTACTCCTCTTGCTCCTGCAGCTCCTCCTGCTGCTGCTCCTCCTGCTGGTCCTGCTGCTCCTCCTGCTGCTGCTCCTCCTCGCGGCGTCACGTGGACATTATCCTCACGTCCCCGTGTCTCCATCTCCCTGTGTCCCCACGCCCTCGTGTCCTCACGCTCCCGTGTTCCCGTGTCTCTGTGTCTCTGTCTCTCTGTCTCTCTCTGTGTCCCCGTGTCTCTGTGTCTCTGTCTCTATCTCTGTGTCTCTGTGTCCCCGTGTCTCTGTGTCTCTGTCTCTGTCTCTGTGTCTCTGTGTCCCCGTGTTCCCGTGTCCCCGTGTCTCTGTGTCTCTGTGTCCCCGTGTCTCTGTGTCTCTGTGTCTCTATGTGTCTCTGTGTTCCCGTGTCTCTGTGTCTCTGTGTCTCCGTGTCTCTGTGTCTCTTTGTCTCTCTGTGTCTCTGTGTCTCTGTGTCCCCGTGTCTCTGTCTCTCTCTGTGTCTCTGTGTCTCCGTGTCTCTGTGTCCTCACGCGCCGTGTCCCCGTGTCTCCACGTGCAGGGCTTCGTCCCCGCTGCGATCCGACTCATCCCCCAGACGGTGCTCACCTTCATCTTCCTGGAGCAGCTGAGGTCACACTTTGGCCTCGTGCTCGCGTGAGCCTCACGGAGTGCTCGCGTGAGCGAGTGTCGGAGTGTGGGGTGTGAGTGTGTCAGTGAGTGTGGGAGTGTGGAGTGAGTGTGTCAGTGAGTGTGGGAGTGTGGAGTGAGTGTGTCAGTGAGTGTGGAGTGAGTGTGTCAGTGAGTGTGGGAGTGTGGAGTGTGAGTGAGTGTGTGGGAGAGAGTGTGTGAGAGTGTGGAGTGTATGTGTGTGAGTGAGTGTGGGAGTGTGGAGTGAGTGTGTCAGTGAGTGTGGGAGTGTGGAGTGAGTGTGTCAGTGAGTGTGGGAGTGTGGAGTGTGAGTGAGTGTGTGGGAGAGAGTGTGTGAGAGTGTGGAGTGTATGTGTGTGAGTGAGTGTGGGAGTGTGGAGTGAGTGTGTCAGTGAGTGTGGGAGTGTGGAGTGAGTGTGTGAGTGAGTGTGGAGTGAGTGTGTCAGTGAGTGAGGGAGTGTGGAGTGTGAGTGAGTGTGTGGGAGAGAGTGTGTGAGAGTGTGGAGTGTATGTGTGAGTGAGTGTGGGAGTGTGGAGTGAGTGTGTCAGTGAGTGTGGGAGTGTGGAGTGTGAGTGAGTGTGTGGGAGAGAGTGTGTGAGAGTGTGGAGTGTATGTGTGAGTGAGTGTGGGAGTGTGGAGTGAGTGTCAGTGAGGTGAGGGAGTGTGGAGTGTGAGTGAGTGTGTGGGAGAGAGTGTGTGAGAGTGTGGAGTGTATGTGTGAGTGAGTGTGGGAGTGTGGAGTGAGTGTGTCAGTGAGGTGAGGGAGTGTGGAGTGTGAGTGAGTGTGTGGGAGAGAGTGTGTGAGAGTGTGGAGTGTATGTGTGAGTGAGTGTGTGAGAGTGAGTGTGTGTGTGAGAGCGAGTGAGTGTGTGTGGAGGAGTGGCGGTGTAGTGGTTAGTGCACTGCGCTGGGAACCCGATGACCCGGGATCCTTTCCTGCTCAGCCAATGTCGGTGATGAATCCATGAACTGGTCCTGGGCCTCCTCTAGGTCGACTCAGCCTTAAATGGGTAACTGGTACGGTTTGTACGCATGATGCCTGGGGAGACGAAGTCAACAAGGTGTGGTGCTGGTGTTTCCAAACAGCACTGGCCCCAACAGTTTTGTTAAGGCTATCATTGTCTTTGTGTGAGAGTCTGTGATGGTATGGAGAGGAGGCTCGTGAAGGATGCCACTGGCCAATGGGAGGCAGTCGCCCTCCAACAAACGGAGGGGCGACGCTCGCAACAACGAGCGGAGCGCCAAAGCGGCGACAACGCATCAAGTTGGCACCGTAGGGGGGGGCCCACCACGTGGTGCCCTCGGGGTCAGCCATCTCAGTCAGTCGACCCCCAGGGCACCTGCTGGGGTCGGTCCCGTGACCTCCTGTCTGTCGGCAGCGAGCCCTTCGACAGTTCGCGTGTCCTCGGAGTGCACCTAGCCTGGCACAGGCGCCGCGGTGACGTCACCGCCACTTGGTGGCCAATGGTGGCTTGTTGTTGTTGGTGGTGGCTGTCCGAGCTGGGCGGTGTGCTCGTGTTAGGATGGCGTCTGCTGTGCGGTGTGTACGCGATGGAGTAACGGATGTGCGTTGCGTGCGCGTGTCTGTGTGTGCGTGTGTGTGTGATCGTGTGAGTGACGGAGCCCTGCCATGGATTGGCACCACTCCTGATGAGGGTAGCAATTTCCAGTCTGGAGGAAATTAGAATTTAACACAACTAATTACCTTGATACGAATTAACGAATCGAATAATGCCTATTTTTACACATGTAGGGGGACCTGGGTAGGTGTGGTGTAGACGCATTGACTGCCGTTGGATTGTCCGTGCCTACCGGTTTGAGTCGCGGGGACTCGGAGAGACGGGGGCACGGGGATTGCAGAGCTCCAGGCAATGTCGACATGACAGCGTGTACCGACGCAACGTCTCCTGCCTCTGTCCCTGTCTCCCCATCTCTCTGTCTCCCTGTCTCTCTGTCTCCCTGTCTTCCTGGCTTCCCGTCCCCCTGTCTCACAGTCTCCCCATCTGTCTCCCCATCTCTCTGTCTCCCCGTCTCTCTGTCTCCCCATCTCTCTGTCTCCCCGTCTCTCTGTCTCCCCGTCTCTCTGTCTCCCCATCTCTCTGTCTCCCCATCTCTCTGTCTCCCCGTCTCTCTGTCTCCCCGTCTCTCTGTCTCCCCATCTCTCTGTCTCCCCATCTCTCTGTCTCCCCATCTCTCTGTCTCTCTGTCTCGCCATCTCTCTGTCTCCCCGTCTCTCTGTCTCCCCATCTCTGTCTCCCCATCTCTCTGTCTCGCCATCTCTCTGTCTCCCCATCTCTCTGTCTCCCCATCTCTGTCTCTCCATCTCTCTGTCTCCCCATCTCTCTGTCTCCCCATCCCTCTGTCTCCCCATCTCTCTGTCTCCCCATCTCTCTGTCTCCCCATCTCTCTGTCTCCCCATCTCTCTGTCTCCCCATCTCTCTGTCTCCCCATCTCTCTGTCTCCCCATCTCTCTGTCTCCCCATCTCTCTGTCTCCCCATCTCTCTGTCTCCCCATCTCTCTGTCTCCCCATCTCTCTGTCTCCCCATCTGTCTCGCCATCTCTCTGTCTCCCCATCTCTCTGTCTCCCCATCTCTGTCTCCCCATCCCTCTGTCTCCCCATGTCTCTGTCTCCCCATCTCTCTGTCTCCCCATCTCTCTGTCTCCCCATCTCTCTGTCTCCCCATCTGTCTCGCCATCTCTCTGTCTCCCCATCTCTCTGTCTCCCCATCTGTCTCGCCATCCCTCTGTCTCCCCATCTCTCTGTCTCCCCATCTCTCTGTCTCCCCATCCCTCTGTCTCCCCATGTCTCTGTCTCCCCATCTCTCTGTCTCCCCATCTCTCTGTCTCCCCATCTGTCTCCCCATCTCTCTGTCTCCCCATCTCTCTGTCTTCCCATCTCTCTGTCTCCCCATCTCTCTGTCTCCCCATGTCTCTGTCTTCCCATCTCTCTGTCTCCCCATCTCTCTGTCACCCCATGTTTCTGTCTCCCCATCTCTCTGTCTCCCATCCCTCTGTCTCCCCGTCTCTCTGTCTCCCATCCCTCTGTCTCCCCGTCTCTCTGTCTCCCCATCTCTCTGTCTCCCCATCCCTCTGTCTCCCCATCTTTCTGTCCCCCCGTCTCCCTGTCCCCCTGGTCCCCCTGGTGCACATTCCCGCTACGTCTCGTTGCCTTGGAGTGGGTTCCACTTACGGTGTGGGTCAGTTCATCTGGGGTCGGCGGGCGGGCGGGCGGGCGGGCGGGCGGGTCGGTGGTCGTGTGCGGTTATTCTGAGCGAACGAGAGGGCAGAGGCGGCCGGCGGCGGCGGCTGCGGTGGTGCAGCTTTGAGGGCCCACCCCAAGTGGTGACTCCACTTGACACGCTTCACGCGGGAGGAACGCGCGCACACACTCGCACAACCGCCGCCACCCTCCTTGGAATCCGTTCTTCAATACTTGAACAATCGCCTCGGTGATGCGAGTTATTACTCGTGTGTGTGTGTGTGTGCGCGCGTGCGTGCGCGTTGCGCGCATCGATATGCACGAGGGCAGCTGAGCGTCTCGCTCGTGAGCCTGGGCGGTGGGGAGCGGGGGGGAGGGGAGGGACCCAATCTTTCCGACGGAGCATTGTAAATAAAAAGCCGTAGAGCAAGAGCAGAGTTGTCACGTCCGTGTCGTCAAATCTCTCACATTCCTCCCCGCTTGGAGAAACGACCCGCCGCGCGTGTCGATACCGCCGGAACTGCTCGAGGGGAGAGAGAGTCGCACTCTTTAAAAACCCGCTCCTCGCACGCCGTGGCCGGCTCCCTCGACAATTCAGTCTCGCGGAATGACCGCTGGGTTCTGGTTTCGAAGGGCCGTGCGCTCGCAAGTCGCGCGTGGCGATGTCTCCTGCTGCTGCTGCTGCTGCTGCGGCTGCTGATATCTCGTGGAAACATCTGGAAAATGTAAAAAGCAACTGCAATCTCTGTGACCGCATTGTTGGCTGCTCGCAGAGGGGTTTTGGTCGTGGTGCTGAAACTGCTTTATGCCGACCCCTACTGAGCTCATCCCACCCCTACTGAGCTCATCCCACCCCTACTGAGCTCATCCCACCCCTACTGAGCTCATCCCACCCCTACTGAACTCATCCCACCCCTACTGAACTCATCCCACCCCTACTGAGCTCATCCCACCTCTACTGAGCTCATCCCACCCCTACTGAGCTCATCCCACCCCTACTGAACTCATCCCACCCCTACTGAGCTCATCCCACCCCTACTGAGCTCATCCCACCCCTACTGAGCTCACCCACCCCTACTGAGCTCATCCCACCCCTACTGAACTCATCCCACCCCTACTGAGCTCATCCCACCCCTACTGAGCTCAGCCCACCCCTACTGAGCTCCACCCACCCCTACTGAGCCCACCCACCCCTACTGAACTCATCCCACCCCTACTGAGCTCACCCACCCCTACTGAGCTCATCCCACCCCTACTGAGCTCACCCACCCCTACTGAGCTCATCCCACCCCTACTGAGCTCATCCCACCCTTACTGAGCTCACCCACCCCTACTGAGCTCACCCACCCCTACTGAGCTCACCCACCCCTACTGAGCTCATCCCACCCCTACTGAGCTCACCCACCCCTACTGAGCTCATCCCACCCCTACTGAGCTCATCCCACCCCTACTGAGCCTCAACCCACCCCTACTGAGCTCACCCACCCCTACTGAGCTCTACCCACCCCTACTGAGCTCATCCCACCCCTACTGAGCCTCATCCCACCCCTACTGACCTCATCCCACCCCTACTGACCTCATCCCACCCCTACTGAGCTCATCCCACCTCTACTGAGCTCACCCACCCCTACTGAGCTCACCCACCCCTACTGAGCTCATCCCACCCCTACTGAGCTCATCCACCCCTACTGAGCTCATCCCACCCCTACTGAGCTCACCCACCCCTACTGACCTCATCCCACCCCTACTGACCCCACCGACCCCTACCGACCCCACCGACCCCTACTGACCCCACCCACCCCTATTGACTCCATCCACCTACTGATCTCACCCACCCCTACTGACGCCATCCACCCTACTCACCCCACCCCCCCCTACTGACCCCACCCACCCCTACCGACCCCTACTGACCCCACCCACCCCTACTGACCCCAC